TGAAAAAAAAAAAAAAAAAAAGAAAACAGAATAACTTTTGATGCGTGTCGCGTTTTGAAACAGGTGTCAGCGGCGCGACGATAAAGTTCGACAAGAACGGCGACTCGGAGGGGAATTTCTCGGTGCTGGCCCTGAAGAAGGACCCCTTTCGACTGAACAACTTCTCCTGCGACTATCAAATGAAGCCCGTGGGCCAATTTCAGCAGGGTGAAACTCTAGTGAGTGAGTTGTTTACAGCATTCGTGCGGATCATTTACTCTCGCGTCGATTCGCTGCATATATATTCGACTATATCTGCACTGCGAGCGTAAAGCACCGTCGATCGTGCGAAATGTATCAAAGTATCGATCGATCGTGCATAGGTGTACAGACCGTCGGAGGCTATGGACTGGCCAGGTAAAAACAAACCGGAAGCAGAACCAGGATGCGGTTTTCTCAACGAACACTGTCCCAAAGACGACACGCATTTGCGAAGCATCGTGGCGGCCGGCGTGCTGGCAGTTCTATTGTTCTGCGCCGCGGTGATCACTATGAGCATATATCGAAGGTGGAAGATCGAACAGGAAATAGAGGGGCTGCTGTGGAAGATCGATCCGAGCGAAATACACGGCTATCCTCATCTTGACAACATGATGTCCTCCCCTAGTAAGGTGAGGAATCACCGGTCACTGTTCTCCCGGTTTATTGGGATTCGAAATCATTTGTTTATCGAAATTACCTATATAGAATTTCGAAAAAATCCATGTCTTTTCTGTTGCAGTTAAGCTTAGTTAGTGCAATGTCCTACGAGTCAAGATGCGGTGGCCAGGTGTTCGCGCAAACCGGGCATTACCACGGGGTAGTGGTGCGAATAAAGGAGCTGAAGTTTTCAAAGAAGAAGGACATCTCGCGGGACGTGATGAAAGAGATGCGTATACTTCGCGAAATCAGACACGGGAATCTGAACTCGTTCATCGGTGCGTGCGTGGAGCCAATGAGGATATTGTTAATTACGGACTATTGCGCCAAAGGAAGTCTTTACGTACGTCATCTTTAATGCACAGACGAACCCAGTAATCTGGCCTGAGTTTGTATTTCATAGAGTCATCGTGCGTGTTTCAGGACATCATCGAGAACGAAGATATAAAGTTAGACGATATGTTCATCGCATCGTTAGTTCACGATCTCATTAAAGTGAGTGTTCTGTGGTGAGGCAGGCAGGATAGTGAAACTGTTTAATTAAACGATTTTGCTCGAATGCAGGGTATGCTGTACATTCACGAGTCGTCTGTGCTAGTCTGTCACGGTAATCTGAAATCTTCCAATTGCGTGGTGACCTCGCGATGGGTACTCCAAGTCTCTGATTTCGGGCTACACGATATGCGGCATTGCGCCGAGTCCGACAGCATCGGTGAACATCAGTATTATCGAAGTACGATGAGCAATAATGCAATAATCACCCTACAATAGACCTCCGTAAACGCGTGATACACGTTCCATATTGTTTCACGAAAACGAGGAAGAGACTGGTCACTGGACGAAATATTATGTATTTGTCAACCGTGTTGTTCGAGTGTTACGTAATACAGGGGTCTATCGTGTATTTGTTTTTCCAATATTCAAGAGCCGCGACTTGGCAAATTCGCTTCCTTTCAGACTTATTCTGGAAGGCACCCGAGCTATTAAGGAATCCTAACGCTCCGATCAGAGGCACTCAGGAGGGAGATATTTACTCGTTCGCTATTATACTATTCGAAATAATTGGACGCAAGGGGCCGTACGGTGGCGTGAATCTAGAACCCAAAGGTAAATATATGTATATTCGTTTACGATAACCAGGGGATGACTGTTAGCGTTGATCGGCGTTGCAGAGATCTATATATGACCGTTAAAAAAATTGACAGAAATCATAGACCGAGTGAAAAGGTTCCCAGAAGATGGTGAACTGCCGTTTAGACCTAACGTAGAGATACTGTCCGAGTCGGAAGCGGACTGTGCCGAGTATATAGTTAGTACGATTACCGACTGCTGGGCGGAGAGTCCAGAGCTTAGGCCCGACTTTAAAATGATCAGGACACGGTTGAAGAAAATGAAAGCGGGACGGCATCGGAATATAATGGACCAAATGATGGACATGATGGAGAAGTACGCGAACAACCTCGAAGATCTAGTCAGTGAACGTACACGCCTTCTTTTCGAGGAGAAACAGAAAACCGAGGATTTGCTTCATAGAATGCTGCCCGAGTGAGTGGCATCGTTTATCATTTATCATTTGATTATTCATACTTGTCCGAACCTTGTGAAATTCTAATCCACACAGACCACCCTAAAGCATCAATTCGTTTCTTGCAGACCCGTTGCCAACTGCCTAACGAATGGTATCGGCGTGGAACCGGAGGCCTTCGACCTGGTCACTATATATTTTAGCGACATCGTTGGCTTCACCGCAATGTCAGCGGAAAGCACACCGTTTCAGGTGCGTTTTTACGCCGATCAATTGTCGCAAATCACTCCGTACGTTGAAACTTACCTTCGTGATTGCTTTTTAGGTCGTAAACTTTTTGAACGATTTATACACTTTGTTCGACCGCATCATCAAAGGTTACGATGTGTATAAAGTAGAAACAATTGGCGATGCCTACATGGTGGTGAGTAAATTTTTTTATCGAAAGGAAGGAAGGGGGCTGTAATTTATGCAGCAATCGTTGCATTGCGCGACTCGACAACGATGGGTGTCTTTCAGGTCTCCGGTTTGCCGATAAAAAATGGAAACAAACACGCCGGGGAGATCGCGTCGATGTCTCTGGACTTACTCAATGCCGTAAAACACCACACCATAGCTCACAGGCCTCAAGACACGCTTAAATTACGCATCGGAATCCACACAGGTAACCTAGCCCGATAACCAAATAAAATCGACGCGTATTCGCACAAGTCTACGACTAATAAATGTTCCAGGACCTGTGGTAGCGGGTGTTGTTGGTCTAACGATGCCTAGATATTGTCTGTTCGGAGACACCGTGAACACTGCTTCCCGTATGGAATCGAACGGTGAACCATTACGTATACACATAAGCGGACAGTGCAAGGATGCATTGGACAAGATCGGTGGTTACATAATCGAGGAACGCGGTTTAGTTCACATGAAAGGAAAGGGAGACGTGAATACTTATTGGCTTACCGGGGCCACCGAGAAAGCTATTCAAAAACGAGAGGCAAGCGAATCAAATTTACAGATCACGTTAACCGAATTTTCTACTAACGCAGTCATTGTATCCGCGTAGGTGGACGTTGGTGATCTTCCACCGCTGTTCTGTAGACCGAGGAGGAGTCCAAAATTGAACTCAGATTCCCGCCAGGCTTCGTTATTAGCCGGCCTGGGAGCAGGTAGTCGTAGACAGTCGAGCGTTCCGCGACCAACACCGGACGATTCCACGTCCCAATGCGGAGGATCTAGTCCGATACCAAGACTTCTCAACTCTCGGAGATTAGAACGATCTCCTCTTTATTTGACCGACAGTGTGTCGAAGACAACGTTGGAGAATGTCGGGCTACCGGACGACGTCGAGACTCGAGCAGCCCACATCAAGATGGCCCTCGACGATTTTTTCATCGACACCAGGCCGAAATTCCGCAAAAACGCTAGAGTTCTGTCGACGATCGCCTCGTCGTCGTCCACGAGCGACTACCCGTTTCAAAATATAATACGGGAATCCCGCTCGTTGGACCCGTTCCCCTTGGAACTGTACAATAAGAGATTCGAGTCGCCGAACTTCTCGTGGAAGGAGCCGAAGAAGAGTTTTCGATCGTTAGAAAATTGTGACAAGTGCACGCGGACAGGCTCGAAAACGAACATTTCCGGGAAAGTGTTGAACAACAACTATCCTAACGGTAACGTGATAATAGTGCCTCATACCGACGGATCGCCGAACGAAGCTGAGACACCGTTGCTAGGGGACGAGAGTGGTTGCATGGGAGAGGTGGTGCCTGCTAAACGTTGGCGATCTCTCGATCAGGTGGCATCCGTGCCCAGCACGGACAGCGTGCCGGACAAGAAGTCTTCCGCGAGGAATTCGATCAGAAGTTGGTTAGTAAATTTGTTCAGTGGCAACGGGTTACGGAACAGCGACGTTTCTTTGAGGCGGGGCGTGATAGCAGGGTATGATATACAGTCAGAGCGTGAAAGTATAGTTTGATGATACCGGAACTTATCCTCTATCCGAGGAGAACAGGTAATGTACACAAATATGGAACCTTGTGCTATGAAACGTGTATGACTGCGCTCAGAACATTACAACATTTATGAGTCATAAGCATGATGTATTGTTGCCATTTTTTTGTCACTTCTTTTTTAGCATAGATACGTGGAATGTATGGGTATGAAAGTTACCGATCGTGTATATTTTTAATACCTAGATATTTTATAACTTGTACTAAAAAAACACGCATTGTTTCGCCGGCGTACGTGCCTTTTTACGTACCGCAGAATTTATTTGTTAACATTTTTTTAATCCGAGCGAATAACGACGAGAATACGACGAACTGTTTTATAAAAATGATTCTAACCAAAGTACACAAACGTAGAGATCACGCAGATGTCTATCTCGAGTTTAGCACAAACGACGATTCCCTTTTCGCGATGCAGGAGAAGAACGAAAAAAAAAACACGCAATTGCTGCGGTGTTTTAAGTTCATGGAAGTTCGAATACACTCGGTTATACATAATTATACATATATATATATATATGTATGTATGTATGTATGTATGTATGTATGTATGTATGTATAATTCTATACTTGTTCACTGAAGGAAAGCAAATTATCCGTATGGCTGTGAAAAGTGAACTAGATTGTACCTAAGGTGCTTAGTAATATATCATCTTGTCAAATGTATATAAGCGAATAATAATATATCGATGTAAAGATAAAGTGTAAATTAAAAGAAATATTCTATCTTCTGTAAGAGTCAAGTAAAGATTCATCTTTTCAAATAATGTATAACTCGATGTTTTTAATAAACAACTACATTTTGTTCCCCTTTTCAATTTTATTTTACAGACGTCATGTGTAAAGCATATATATATATACACACACACACGCACACACAAAACTCTTCATATAATCTATAGGTTATAGGTAAGTTGCTATACAAATATATCTCTACAAGAAGTATTTACGTGCATTTATTTTTACACGGACTAGAATTACGCGGTCGTATCTTGACCGGAAAGGAATTTTGACATGAAGTCTGTCGGCTTTGGTTGACACGTTTCTTTCCAGTAGTTCATAAGAGCCGATTTTGGTTTCCATAAAGTGACAACTTCTTGAAGCTCCATTTGACCCTAACGCAATTCGTACGCCTATTAAACTATATTTATTAACAAGACCCTTTCCATACAAGAAAGAATAACATAAACGATATAAAAAAAATATACGATATCCCGTGATTTTTCGGCCAAACGGAAAGACCCTAATCCAGAGGTCAAAACCAAAAATGTTATATAACATTTGTAAATAAACGCTTTGTTTTATTTTAGAAATTCGGCAAAATACTAAGGAATTTCATCGAGCAATAAGTTCAAGTGTGTATAGACGACAGCTGCATCCACTCAGGGCATCGTTTTGAAACAAGACATTGACAATAATATATCATAGAATATAGTTCGCAATTTTTTCAGACGACGAAAACCATAGAACTACAGAGACACGATTAAGCACAATCGACCTTTCACGTGGTATGCCAAAAAATGCATTACTTATTTTATCCATATAATATTTCTGTTTAGGTTAAGTTCTCAAAGTTTGGTGGAAAAACCATGAGACACTCAATATATAAACGAAAACATACGTCAGAGTTGAAGACTTAGTATTAAGGGCAAATCAGATTATATAAATATAAACTAGCGAAATAAATACCAATCGATACCGGATCACGTTTACTTTGAAATTCACACTTACTGTGCATCGTAGAACGTATTATTCGCATCATTCTTACCTTGATAACAAGTAGATCTATAACTCTTATGTCCTTTAAATCATTGTGTCGTCGAAATTCTTCTCTTAACTTTTTCTTACAATCTTCCTGATTTTTTGGGATATCATAATTGTAAACTACAAAACAAAGCAATTACATGTAAATACAATTGAGAAACGTTATGAGATCATTGCAATGCATCTCACGAAATTTAGATAAACTAGACTGCTGATTAAAAGAAAAGAATGGATTTGAAATCCAGGATAAACTATTTTTGTTGCAGTTAGGTTAGATAACACCACATCAGATTAATGTTCAAAGAAAGAATGTACGTCTTATGAATACATACCAATTTCAGGAATTTGTCGATACCAAGCTTTGTACAATGTTATCACTCTTCTACGTGCGTCTTCGGTATTGAGCGAGAGAATTGGTTTCACTTTTTTTAAACCTGTCCTCGTAGGTGTAGCCATTTTTGTATTACGTAGTGATACTCTCTCTCGAAACGAATCAACTGTGCACACTTGTATACCCTACACGACACATTCGGCTAACGAATACTCGAGAAAAACTATGAAAACGTTTTATATCGAAAGTAAAGAAACTGTTATTGAAAACACAATGCTTTTAAACATTTTCAACATAAATTAACACTCACGATCGGTGACATGAATTCGTATCTACCGCGTATTCGGCGTATCATATTTTATTACTACGACTCCCGATGTTGCAGGCAGTGTTGCCACGTTGTTCAGCAAGGCTAGTAATAAAGGTAATAGGGCTTATTTGTTCTCAAAGATGGCAGTATCTGCATCGTCACAAACTACAGGCTTATATCGCATTCATTTCGTTATATAAAACAACGTTCTTCGCTTGCTTCCCCTTTCAATTATTCAAAAGTGATTCTAACATATTCTGAATATTTTTTAGGGCATGGAATACTCCATCTCTTCAAGGACATGGAAGTTGCACGACATAGATGCACATTCTCAACTTCCCAGAGTCATCAGTTTCACATGCAGAGGGCACTATGAATCCATTGGTACTCGTCAAGGACGGTAATTCAGTTCGTGTAACCTCCTTTTTTTACTATTTTGTGTTAAAGTTGTGTTCATTTTCCACGTATAATAACCGTATTGATTCTCAAGCCTAGAATACGTTGCGAAATCACTGGTTCGTCACAATATCGGTATCTTACATAATAATATTTCTTTGTTGATATTTGTTTATTATATTAGCATATTTATGCATTTATCGTTAAAGTGGAAAATTAAAACCTATTCGCGTAACGCAAGATTGTCGTTATAGTGATGTTTTATTTAAATTATTCGTTTTACATGTTAGGAAATATTTCAAACGTTGTTTCGTCTCGTTCTCCGCGATATCTTGACGTATCTGAAAAATATATAGGCAATAAGTCATTATTTTTATGCTTTAAATTATTTACAGCTGAAAATGAAGAAAGTTGTGTATGCTTCGGCTTGACCTTGGCGAGTAGAGGACCAGTTAATTTATCCGGTACCGCAACATTATCTTCCGTTCCTTCTTGTTGCTTTTTCACGGTGTCAGGTTTTGCGTACATCGTGCCTCGTGTTAAAAGTTTAATGCTATCGCGAGAAAGGGCCGGAGTAATTAATGCCGCGAGTGGTACGGTTTCGTTAATTAATCCTGTACAAAAATCGAGAAATATTCCTGAATATCAGAAATTATAGGAAACAGCGAGAACACGTTGATTAAACACAACGAAACCTTGATTATTAATTCTCTTGCCCTTAAGGGAGGCACACATCTGTCCTACTAAAATTCTCTGAGTGTTGGTCATTCTTCGCAATATTACATGATCTGCGTCCAAATGACCAAGATCCTGGGCACCTTTCCAAGTCTATAACCACACGGAATGGGAAAAATATTCGTTTATCAGATCTTTTCTCTCTGAATATTTCACAGAGTTTGAACATCATCTTTTTCTTTTTGCACAATACTCACTTTGGCATTCGAAGTGCGTGTAGCAAGAATATTTCCCGAAGATATCCGCTGCTCGCCAGTCCTCGTCTTCAAACTTTTCTTTGGGCAGCGTTCGAAATATTTTTCCGTGATATCGTCTTCGGAAGGCTTTCTCGCGAGATGGTCGATACCTTTACGCGTCAGATTATTAAACAAAGTTTAAATTTATAACAAAGTTCGCGTTGTCAACATTTTTCTCACCCGAGTTTTCTTTTGGCAGTTTATTTTTTTCATTCCCCTTCAGAGAATCTTTCCTATCTTTCCTATTTTTATTCGCCCGTGGCATTTTTTTATCGTAATTCGAATACATTTTTTCATTGTTCTCTTTTTCATGTTTTTGTTCGTTCGGAGATAAAGAAATTTTCTTAGTACTGTCCTTCGGTTGGGTTGTTTTCTTCGTGTCCAGAAATATGTTATTTCGTATCTCGGAGACCAAAGCGTACAAAGATGGCGCCGATGGTATTTCTAGAGTCAGAGCTACGATTTCCTTTTCTAAAACTCTCTCGAATTGAAAATCTATCTCGTTTGCCACTGTCGCTACCGAAACCACAAAGCATTCCGGAGACGACATCATCGACTGGCCCAACAGAGACTGTGCAAAATTTTGTATCTCAGGACACAGTAGCATTTTCTTTATTTCGTCCGTGTTTTTCGCGGTTTCGATAATCTTTCTCCACTTGTCGGGATTCACGCGCTCGAGAACCTCGAGCACGGTCTGCACCAATGCTTGGATTTGATAATTGACAAGGATCGGTACGATTCTATGATCTTTGTTCCGTAGTTCGATACACCGGGCAGGTGTATTCAAATAAATACATTTTCTATACCTTCTGATTGTTTCAGGACTTAACGTAGCAGACAAAAGAGAATTCGTTGATGGGTGACCATCGAATATACTACGAAACGGGGACTTGGTACTCGAGGTTTTCGAAGGTGCTCCTTTTATGACTCTGAAACTGGACTTTATGCCCATAAGGCCTTTTTGAGTATCGTCGTTTTTCGATCTATACGCCATATATTCCCTGGGTTTACTTCGTTTTGACTTCAACATGGTGATCCCTCGGTCCAACTTGCGCGACGATCCGATCGTTGATCGTCTCGATGGACTGTGCGTCGATCTCGCGACCCAATTTCTATTCGACGCATCGGTAGTCGTTCTGCTCGATAGATCGTCGTCGTCGTCGTCGTCCAAACAAAACGACAAACTTTTCTCGTTCGATTCGTCCAGTTCCATATTAGAATGGACAAATTTTTTTCTAACCACACCTTTCGCCAGAGCCTGTTTGATTCGTAGTTCGTGAGAAGGGCCGAGCAACGAGTAAACATGCGGTGAAATTGTCGGCATTTTTTCAAGGCCGCCGAGTGCTATTCTGGTGTGTTTGGCATTGGTCGATAGAGCCTCGTCGAAATCAACATTGTTGTCCATGTACTGTCTGCACTTGGCCTCAAAGTCACGGATCGCTTGATCCTCTAAACTTAGCTTTCGTGGATCTTCGTGTAGTTTCACATTTTCAGGCGTCGTGCCGTTCCAAGCCTCTTCCCTATCCACCACATAACACGGCAGGATATTGTTCCATGCACCGGAATAGTGCTTGTTCTTAGCTTTAAACGATCGATAGGGTTACTCGATCGAGTAGTTTAGTATATATTTTAAGAGAATCGCCTACACCTACCTTTCTCCAATAAAGACGTAACTGGACGAATCGTAGAATCGTCGTTATCGTTCCACCTGGTGCTATGAGCGGTTAATAGGTGCAGACAGAGAACTTTCCGAGGGTCGACTTGGTCGTCGGTAAAGACTATCGATCGTACAAACTCGTAAGAATCTTTTGGCGCTCGTTGTTTCGTCGTTAGACCGTTTTCTTTTATGGCGCCCGTACAGTGATAGCAAAAGCCAGGATTATGCGTTTCGTACATACGCACGTTGCTAGCCTGCGCGTCAAATACTGTAAATATAGTATAACCTGATCTCTGGCTGAATCGTAAAATATCATCGAAACGAAACTTCGAAAAAGAAAAACGCGCCTTTCGTTTACTTTTCGCGCGGTTTTGCGATCTTACGTTCGATCCCGAGGATTGCTGTCGAGTTTCCAAGTTTTTGTACTGCTTACGAAACCGGTGCCTCGCTGTCTCTATCATCCTAAGATCCGACTTTTCCACCTTCTCGAGTTTCACAAGTTCTTGTGTCAGTCTCTGACGACTAATCTCGTTCTGCTTAACAAGCTTGTCCTGCAGTGTCACGCTAGATTTCATGGTCGGTTATTGCCGAGAAATTTTGTTGCCCAAAAGGTGGTTAGAATCGGTGAAAAGTCAAGGCTCGAACGCTTTAATTAAAATAGACGCAAACGCGCTTCGCTTCACAGTACATAGGACTCCTACTACTAATTGGTTCTCGAATCTCTTAGAATTTCAGCTGATTATGTTCTTAATTATAATAAATTAATTACGATAAGTATGGTGTTTGGTTTCATAAACGTTTGGACGTTAGGGTCTATTTGTAAGCAATCGTTTATGTTCGTGGCGTACTGCGATCGCGTAACGTCTCTACCGACGTGTACGTTTACACGGTTCGGATTTAGATCGAAGCTATAACATCGATGTACAACGAGGAACATTAATTCTTGTTCTCTAGGAGAAAGTCACCAACTCTGCCACCAACCAACACGCCTGTTCCTAAGAAAAGTGTTGTCGATCGGTTTACGAACTGGTGATTCTTTTCTAGAGCGCAAGAATTAATGTTAATGCGGCTCGTATAAACGCATTCGAGGGTTTAAAAATTCAATTAGCCGTCAATCGTAGGAGTACGTTGCATAAGGCATTAGAATACTTGGCACGACTTACTTAGAAATAAACTTTCTAATAGGCTTTCATTATTTATAGACGAAAGAATTTTATTTACAGCGAGCAGAAGCACATGGTAGCAGAGCCTTTGCGTCGTTGAAACGCTCGTGATCACAACAAGCGTAAATACATGCTAATCGTGCCAATTGTAAGTGATTGTTTCTCTTTGATCTCTTGTGTAAATTACGCTCGTGCATGCAAGGCCTATTCAGTTGTTATTCAATATGTTACGTCACGACATTAATAACTTACTTTCTGTATCGCGTGTAATAATATACGATAAATCGATAATGTTTTGTTTTCTGGTATACTATAAATATATTTTGGTATACTTTAAACATCGATGGCAAGGAATCAAGCGACGTTCGTGCATATTGACGCACATTGTACGCCAGTATGCATTATTAATATAGAGCATACGTTTTGTACTCGATTTACGCATAATCGATCATTACCAAGAAACGCTGACTTTCGAAAATTTCACTGCTCTTCTCTCGATCGTGTAAGCTAATTCAGAGAAACTGTGATATACGCATTGTTCGGTATTTTGGGGTTCTAAAACTACTTGGACGAAGAATACATATTTATTATTGGCCAGTATAATTTCTAACAATAGTACGAAAATGAAATAAAACCGAAAGGCAAACGAGGTCGCCATTGTTGTTGGTTTGGTAAACATTGACTCAATTGGTCGATGGAGCGAGTGCCGCGTAATAGAGGACCGCTGATTGGTCGGATGTTCAGTCAGATTGACCGAGATCGCGTTCGCGTCGCGATCTGTTACATCGGCAGTTTAGTCGTCGAAGCGAGCGTTAAGCGAGTATCGATCCCGTTTCTAAAGGTGCATTGTTTAGGTGCATAGATAGATTTAGCTGGAACGCGATCAGCGAAGACACGAGAGTGACGAGAAGGCGCGCCGTGGCGGTTAGGATTGTTAGGAAGGCCGGTAGTGCGAGGAGCCGCGTGGTAGGAGGTTGCTGCGATTCAATTTCAGTCGAAGCGCGCCAGGCAGACCGAGCGCCAGCAAGAACCGGCTGCTCTCTTTTCCGTACCTCGTAGTACGTATCTCGTTTTTCGAGCACACCGTCGAATCCTTTGGTGTGTGGACGCGCGTTTTCTCTGTTGAACGGTGCGTCTGTGAGACTGGGATGTACACGTACCGGTCGCCAGAGGGGGATGCTCGCGGCGCGTGTGTGTGTGCCAGTGAGCCTCCAGCATTCGAGCGAGTGTTTACATCGTGCGTGTAACCTACCGAGGAGGGCAACCGTTGCTCGGGAACCAGTACTTACTACTTACGTTTTAGAACGCATTCGAAAAACACGACACATTGACAACCTAGTTCACGGAAAGTAGCGCCGAGCAGCATCCCGGTCGACGCGACGGTTGAGCGTGAAATTTTCGAAAAGCAACGCGATCGAACGAAACGAGGATGCGTTTGTCCGTTACGATCGAACGAACGGACCCGCTTCGAGCGTAAAAATGAGTCATCGGAAGATTCGTCGTTCGCCGGTACAGTTTTCCTCCGATCGTCGTTCGAGAGTTTCGGTAATTCGTCGATGGACTGTTGTGCTATAATCGAGTAACCCGTGAACACGTGACACGTCTGCTTGCCGCCATGGCCACGAGAAGATAAGGAAGAACGAACGCATCTGTGAGAATGGAATTTGCAGGTTATAAAGGCAGCGGTCCCCGTGTTAGGGTGCGACGACGCGCGGAATTAGGTAGACGGCTCACCAGGAGGCTATCCCTGGTCGCGAAAATGCCAGCTGCCATTCTTAACAGAGCGAATCCACCCGAGCCAAGGCCAGTGGAGATCACGGCGATCGCACCTGACAAGACGCAGCTCACCGTAAGTAAACAATATTTTAGTCCCCGACGAAATATCCTTCGATCTTGTTTACCGTCCAAGGATCCGCGAGTTAGAAAACTCGATAACGATCGTTACGCCTGTCTGTCGTTCGACGACCGTACAAATCGATATTTTGCCGGATGTCTGGAATATTCGCACGTGCTTCTTCGATCCAACAGTGTCGCGTATCTGTCCCCTAACATCGTGGAAAAGTTCGAACCTATATTCGCGGTGCCATGCCGTGGATTCCGTGGTAGAAATCGAAACTCCGTGATGGGATTCGACGATTAATGTACCAACACGTTGGTACGCCGCACCGCTGGCTACAAGTGCTGTACATTCTATACAGGAGTAAGAGGCGTTACCTTCGGTATTTAAACGCTCTATAGAAACGTTGCACGTCATTCTCCTCTTGTGTTCGTTCGTAGATACGTTCCTTCTCCTTTATGCGCTACGTACTCTCTCGCTGACTTTTCTTGCCGAACGCGGACAACCTTTATTACAGGCTTACCGCTCGAATTAACCAATGTTTAGATTCTGGTTCGCTCGTGTATCCACGACGTTACACGTTGCACCGGGCGTCCGAAAATATACAATCCGGAAGGGGATGATTCTCAAACGTTCTCTTTATCGTTCGCAATCGATACTTTAATTTAAACGCCTCCTCCAATTAATTACTACACACCTCACCTTACTTCTAAATACATACTCGCTAGTAACAAAATAACTGTTAATCATTCCCTGTTGATAGGTGACTGTGCATTGTCCCGATAGACTCGATCGACGATGCGTTGGATTCCATGTGCAACGAAGTTCTGGTTGCATAATTACTTTAATTCATACTCATCGAGGCGCAACGCATAGAGACATTTTGTGACATTTTGCACAAATGAAATTTGATCTCTGAATGCCGTTACAGCAGCGTTGTTTAGAGTTTTCTTTGTTATACACTTCTTTTAGTGTAAATTCAACTCCCCGAGTATTTACATCCGTTTCTCATTCCTACAATAGGAGGTTCTCTTCTCCTCGGTATCCTAACGGAGATTATAATCTTGGCATATCTTCGAATCATTGTCCGTGCCTGTCCGTTTTCTTTTACTTTTATCTTGACCGTTTAGCTCCGGATCGTTGGAAAGAGGAACATTCTCAAGTTCCGAATACGTTTAGCTGATAACGATAGGTGCACACGCGTGTTGCACGTGCGTACGTAAACTCGAGAAAGAAAAGTGAAGGCGTTGTTGTATGCACGGTGGCGTTCCTTGAACTCCGCCGACCGACTCTACACGTAATCGTCGTAAGAAAGAAAGTGCGCAACGTGATCGATAGCAGCACTTTCTAGCAGCGGACGAAATGCACTTCGTCCCCATTCGGGATTTTACGGACTGCGCGCACGCTCCTCTCTGTATATGCGTATACGTGCATCGATGTATCGATGCACCTCGTGGGCGGTTAACAAATGCGAACAATTTCATTTTACAACGCGCCCTGCACGCACGTTCGCCGAGCATGTGCAATTCCAGCTACCATAGATTAAACGCACCTGGATCGATCCTTTCAGCGACTGGAACGTCAATTTCCCAATTTTTCATCGCGGATAAATCCTGTCGCTTATCGTACGAACCTAGAAATTGCTACTTTCCAATTTCATCATTTTTAATGATCTTCGTCGATCGAATGACTCATCCTTACGCGTGCAAATTTTACAATTGAATTGTCATGGTACGATGTTTCGTGTCGGAAACTGTTACTTAATTGCAACGGTCATCGCGTGATGTAAATGTATTTTCAAAGGAAAATAGATCCAGTCTTTCTACCGTCCAGGCTGTGTTGATTTATAAATTAGACCAATCTCGATTAGAACTGTACGATCGATGCCCCACACGCGGCTCTCTCGATCCTTTTTACTGTTCGATCGACGCGTGAACAGTGTTTAAAGGTCACTGACATTCTGCTTGCGAAACGTGAAATTCACTTTCGACATCGAAGATCGAAGTACCGGTGTCGATCGATTCCATACGCGATCGACGGAGAAAGTGACGCCCGAATTAGCCGGTCATCTTTGTATTTTGCATAGAACCGTTCAACGTCGTTGGTCAGTGTACCCCGTTCTCCATTCCTGCTTATTACGCGCGTACCTGTTTGTTAAGTTCCGCGTGTCGGTAACCGTGAGCAGGAAACAGAACGACCAAGTCCTGTCTCGGTAATCCGTCGTTTTGTTCGTCTTTGTCAATTACAGATTTTCACGAATCGTGAAAAATAGAATCACGCACATTTAACCCCAGATTTCTTCTACGTTGTCATTAGTCGCATAAAATTTCGGAAGAAAAGTTAACAGTTAACGGATTAAAGTGTAGTTCGCTTGGCTTAATTATTCGTTACGCGCGGTCCACAGTTTTTTAACGCGGCACACAAGGTACATATAACGTATCGTTCTGAAAGTTTTGTCTCGAACAGATTGTTTCTAGCGTCTGTGACTAACGATTACGGTGTTGTAATTAGGCGGACTCGAGTGGATTCATTCGTGAGATTGCAAATTTTAGATCTCATTCTGCTCTGATTGTCAGAGTCACGCAGCCGTACGCTCGCTAATAATGCGACAGTCGGTACGCAGCTACAGTAAACAAGTCCACTATTTTATCACGCTTGACCGCGACCGAGAACGGAACACATGTATCTGGTGGAAAAATAATTTAAGAACCGACTGTCCGTCGTTAGTCGAACAAGTTATGGCCCTTATCGTCGACCGTTCGTGTCATTTTTCCTTCCTTCGATCAGTTTTATTTCCCTGGAACAGTCGTAACGTTTCTGAAACTAGTTTAGTTTCAACGCGAAGCGATTTCTGTCCGGCGTTTCTACCTGCGTTGCCTAGGACCATGGCGACCCGACAGGTATTACGAACCTAAGGTGTATCGAAACTGTTCGAGGCAACCGATAAGAACGTTCTTCGGGACTGTATAGTGGAATTCACCGAAATACCAGTCTCGAAAGGCTACCGAGGCTAGAAAAGGCTTCTAAAACTTCTGCGGTTGGTCTTCCAAAGATTCGCATTCGACGTTTACGAGGATCGATAAAACCGATGCGTTTACGGTTTAATAGCCGCTCTTAACATTTTCTTCCACCGCGTACGCAAAAATTATAAAATATTCTTTCCCCCCTATCGTTAAGGAACTTCTGTTATTCTCTGTGTGGCAGTGTCCTCGAGGAATTAACGAAGAAAAGTTTGCGCAGCGGAATTTCCGCGCGCGATCTCGGATTAAATGCAAGTTGAAAATTGTTGCAAATCGTATCTGTATTCACGGAATTTTCAGGAAGTGATTCATGCTTTTGAAGTTTGCGGAGCTTTCACCAGCCTCTTGCGTCACGTCTGAAATATGTGACGAGCTGTGACCGATTGGAGTTATTGCTAACGTAATTGTACTTTAATACGCTGTTTAAACCAGCTAGATAATTATTGAGTTTGGGGAATGCAACGTTATATATATATATATATATATATATATATATATACTATTGTATATTTATGGCTGCGCGGTTTTTGGCCAATGTTTGATTCCATATAATTGAGTAAGAAATCGGGAACCATAAACTATGAATTTATGTTTCGTTCAAAGCGTGGATAATTATCGTACTACACCTTTTCTTGAATAACGATTGCCGTATCGTGAACTAACTGGGCTTAATTCCTCCGTAGCGATTTAAAACAATCATATATCGGTTTTGAATAAAGAAATAACAGTTCGCAGTGGTAACAGTTGGCGAATAAGTGACGTCAACGTGACCGATATAGTTAATACGACTTACAGAACCTCGTGGTTATGGTGTTGCGCAACGGTCGACCGAGGTAGATTAACAGGCGTAAGGTTTCGTCCGGATTTGTAGGATTCCATTGACATCAACTGTGGCTAGCAAGACAAAATAACTTACACAATCTTCGGGCATGTTATGCATTTAGTATCTTAATGGTTGGCTAGAGAAACTATAGCCTCGTACTATCGTATAACGTTACGCGATAAGTTCCGAAATGTAAACCGAAGTTGATCTCGAGTATTATTTTCAGGGTGATTTTTCATTCGTTCACAGTATTTCGTCAACCTCCTGATGCCTTTTTCCCTTTTCTCGGAGTAGCGATGTTCCCAAGCGTCCAACAGCCGATCGTAGTATCGTTCCACTTTGAAAAATTTCAAGTACGCGTACGATTGGTTCGTTGGGAAGATTTTCTCGAAATCTCCTACTTGCGCGAGTTCGTCTTCGTAGCGGATGAGCAGCTTCAAGTCGTCCTTCGTCAACCTCTTAACGATTCGATCCAGGTAATCGAGGCGATTTTGCACGACGTTTATTTCATTCTGTTTCGCTTTTTCTCGCGAATTCAACGCCATACTGTATAATGTAGAGTCGTGCGCTATCGAATCGTACCTTCCGTCGCACGTATCGTTGCTTCCGGATGTTAATTCATTTTTTGGGATCTGGTATCCGGCCATGTTCAAGATGTTCGTGACGAGAGGACCCTGTAAAAGGAACCATCGTCGTTGATCATACGAATCACGCTCGCGATTCGATCGGACACTGTCCATGAATCATTCACCATCGAACGTTTCGAGGTGCGTATGTGTTCCCGTGCATCGTTACAAAGGAATTCGAAATTATCTCGCTGTTGTCATAAATATATCGTACCAGCCCTACGATTTGGGAATCTAATTGCTATTTAATGAGTTTCGAGCGGCAAATCATTTCCATCTTACAAGGAACAATTTAAAGTATCCGATAACAATTTTAGTGGAACTGTGAAAACACATTTTTTCTTTACTGTTTTAGGCGGTGAAACTACTTTTCAAATGTTTCGTTTCTTTAATGGAATTTGGAAAATTATTGAAAAACGACGAGAAAACTTTTTATATAAATTTTCTCCGGTTTAATTAACGCGTTAAACGTCGAGCTAATTTTATTTTACTTTCCATTTACGCAGCGCGTAAACGAAGAATTTCATTTTTTTTTTTTAATGT